GCTTATGCTCTAATAAATTTGTTAGTCTCTAAGGTGCCACAAGTACTCCTGTTCTTCTTTTTGCAAATAACCAATGTCAGTCTGGTTTATAATATGGTATAGGAAAAAGGTTCTATACTATACAAGAGTCTGAAAAGCAGTCATGTTACATTCACTTTATGCAGAAGGGGTATTACACATTTCAGCTGGTATTATTTATTATCATGATTTTACGAGTTTAACCTCTTTTTATACGTTACTAAAATCCAACCCATCAGTTTGTTCCAGTTCTCTAACTTGTTATTCTGTTCCTTTCTTATCTTTGTTTTGGATACTAGCATTCCAGGTATTGGTCTGTGAAAGTACTTCCCTAGCTTGTACTAAGATATAGGAAACTTGTCAAAATCAAGATACATTCATTCTAGCTGCTTGTGCCAAATGCTTACTTCAGTAAATGCAAGGTGTTATGGATACTTAGAATAAAGTGAACAGGATAATGATATAGTCCAGTTTAGACTATACTGTTTCACTGCTACAATATTTGTGCTTAATGCATAGATTTTATAGTGTGGATAATGCATATTAATACAATATATGTTTATATGCTAGCCAGTATATATTAGTCAACTCCCCAAAAATGTGTGTGTATACATGTGTATATATAAGTTATAGACATTATACCTAGACACCCTACAGCAACTGAGAAAACATTAACTAAATAAAAAGTCTCAAGAACATAACATCACTCCTTGCTTTTAGATGATATAGAAATCGCCCCAAGATTATGTGGATAGGTCTTTCGTTGCACCTTAAAGTTTGCTAAGCACTAGTTCTGTCAGATCACCTAAAGAAGCAGGTTCCCGAGGCCTCCCTGAGGAATATCTGGTGCCAGTCTCAGAGAACTTCATCCCCAAAAGAGTCAACAACAGTGATCCAGTGGAAGCAATCTCTCAGGTAACTGGATCCTACCACTCAGGGATTTGTAGGTGGTAGCCAGCACTTTGAACCATACAGCCAGCGAAGAGCATAGAATACTTATGTTCTGATCTTTATCCATCAAGAGATATGATCTGTAGTGCTCTAAGACACATTAAAATATTAGTATTGTGTGTGTTCCAATTGTCTGCTTAAATGAACTGTTAATATTATAGGCCTGGCTGCTCTCTTAGAGCCCTTTTACATCACTGTAATTTCACTAACTTCAATGAGTTACTCCTGATTTGTAAGAAGAGAATCAAATGGCATGTCATTCTGATGACTTGAAAACACTAATCAGCAAACAGAAGACATCCTTATTCTACTGAACTGTTAAATAAAGGCTCACTCTTTATAAGAGACCATGTGAATTCTCTGCTGCTTTTCCTAATATGCTAAAGCAGTTTTATACTCCAAATCCAAGTGCCTTGTAGTAAACTAGCCTTGAAATGATAAAAGCATGAAACACTGCAGTGGAGACCACAGCTAAGAAGAACTGTTGCAGCTGACAGATCTGCTGCAAATGGGGAAAAGACCCCCCTCCAAAAAAAGTCAGATTATGCCACAGCTATCTGGCAACAGGAAAACATGGGATCCAATCTGAACACAAGACTGCAACCCATGGGAGAAATCCTCAGCTGTTAGATATCAGCAGACTGCCAGTGATTCTAGATATGGTCACTGCATATTAGCAGAGTTCAAACAAGACACTTTCAGAGTAGAGCTGAGCAAATACTTGAATTTTTGTTTCGGTCACCAAACTGAATGAAAAAAAAATTGTTTTGTTTCTAACTGAAATTGATTTTATCCCAGTTTTTCCTCAACAAAAACAAAACAAAAATAGTTTGGATCATACTAAACATTTCAGACACTCTAACACTGCATTTTGCAGTGAATGTACTATTTGACTGAAAAATTTCAGAGGCTTAATCCACTCCTGTAGATGCTCTGCTCTGCCTATCAGCAATATTTATATCTCATCTGGAATGCCCGGTTGAAAAGGAACCCTGGCAGCTCCAGCCAGCACTGCTGAACAGGCTGCTAAAAGTCTGGTCGGCACTGCAGCAGGGCTAAAGCAGGTTCCCTGCCTGCCCTGGCTCCACATGGCTCCCGGAAGTGGCCGGCATGTCCGCCCCCTTGGTGCAGGAGCAGGGTGTGCACGAGGGCTCTGCACACAGCCCCTGCCCCAAGTTCGGGCTCCACAGCTCCCATTGGCCGGAAACAGCAGCCAATGGGAGCTGCAGGGGTGGTGCATGCAGACATGGGCAGTGCGCAGAGCCCCTGGCCCCTCCACTTAGGAGACAGACATACCAGCTACTTCCAGAGCCCGCACCCCACACCTCCTTCTGAACCCAACCATCTGCTCCAGCCCTGACTCCCCACCCGCACCAAAACTCTCTTCCAGATCCTGCAACTCTCATCCCTTTCTACACCCCAACACCCTGCCCCATCCCTAAGTTCTCTCCTGCATCCCAAACCCCTCATTCCTGGCCCCATCCCAGAGCACGCACCCCCAGCCGGAGCCCTGACCCCCCTCTTGCACTCCGGCCCCCTGCCCCATCCCTGAGTCCCCTCCTGCAGTCTGAACCCCTCAGCCCCAGCTCAAAACCCCCCCTTATATCCCAAACCTCTCATGCCCAGCCCCACACCATAGCTGCACCCCCCCCCCACAGCACTCACCCCCCTCCTGCACCCCAGCCTCCTGCCCCAGCCTGGTGAAAATGAGTGAGGGTGGGGGAGAGCTAGTGATGGAGGGAGGGGGATGGAGTGAGCAGGACGCAGAGCCTCAGAGAAGGGGCAGGACAGGGGCGGAGCAAGGGTGTTTGGTTTTGTGCAATTAGAAAGTTGGCAACCCCAAAGGCACTTCATGCATGGAAAAAGCATAGACACATTTATGGGAGAAGTTACATTGGCAATCTTCTCAGAAGTCATGAATCAACACATCTGCTGGCTATCCTGCCCACTCTCCTCCCCAGCCAACATAACCATTTATGGGCCTGTGCTGGCGCCAGCTTAGGAGAGGTTACAATTGCCTTCTATTATTGCAGTCACACCGCTGTGGATTTTCTGCCACTGGACAGCTGAACCCAAGGTTATGCCTGCAGAACCGAATGTTATCCTGCTCACAGTGAGAAGAAAACTGTGAAGTTTGTCATCCCTCAAATACATGTGTTTTTTTAACTTAATTCACCTTATCTAATGGGATGTTTTTAATTTTCTCTACTAAAAGAAATAGTTGTGTTACAGGTTCCCAAAGACTCCCATATGCATGTTGAATTGGGGAAGCAACACATTCAGAATCCCAGGGGTTTGGCTTTAAGGTCCTAGTACCCGAAGGTTTGAATACAGTTCTCGATGGCAAGTTAAGCCAAACTTTTTATTGGTTTTGAAAGGAACCTTTAGATAGATGTAACCTAAGCATCATATTTTATTGAACCTGGACCTTTTACTGCTGTTAACTCTTGGCAGAAGGGACACGTGTGTGAATTGCCACTGGTATTCAGCCACATGCTAAATCCACATCTAAAACCAAGTTGCTTTAAAATTAAAAATGGCTATGCTGAAAATATATTCTATAGTCAATTAAAAATAAAAACCATCTTCTAAGTGATATTTTACAATACATTTTATACAAGCAACACCACAAAATGTTTTGATGTCTTATAGAAATGAACTATGACATATTAGCATGAAATGCATTATTATTCTTTGTCTCATTGCCCATTTTAGGAATGTTCGCCCAATTATTTTTCTCCTCCCTCAGTTAAACTCTAAAGCATCAGCATCCTTTTTGTTTCAAGTAGTGATTTACGAAGACATGAAAACTTTCCTCTGTAGCCATTTAACAATAAGAAAACCACAAATCTCAACCATCACAATACTCCACTCTTCAGACTCTCAGCTAGGCTGACAGTGGTAATGGAAATAAAACATGATTTCTGAAATCTGTCAGTCTGATTTTTAAATAGTAATTTATATGCTGTGGTTCTGACTTCTATTTTCATTTACATATTTAATAAAGACATTAATCATAAAAAGACTAAAGCATGCTTATGGGTTGCTTTTTGCAATTAAAGAAAGTTAAACATATGAAGTGGAGATAAATGTGATAATGCGATTCAACAACTTTAAATTGATTGTATTTAGCTTCATTTCACTGTTAAGCATTGCATATAAAATTGGGGTGGATAATGGTGTCACCATTATCAGTGATAACAGCTAGGCAAATACAAGAACAAAAAGTTATCCTTGAATATTTTCTCAGATTCTTAAACTAATTTGATCCTTGCTCTTTTGTGTTTGCTGTCTGTGAATTTTCTAGCAAAAAGGTTTACTGGTAAAAATGGCAATTGAAAGAGCACATTTTAAAATGAATATTGGAGAAAATTCACAGAAAGGGAATTCTGAATTTGTGAATTCAAGTATTAGAACCAGAAAGCTGTTCATGAGTCCCAGTCTTCCAATCATGGCAGCGAAACATACCATATGATATATGAATCCAATCAGAACTATCTAACACAGTTCAAATTCCAATTTTTTTAAACAAAATTTTATTTGCAAATAATCTATAGGCTCAGAGTTATTCACAGAGATTAATCTGCAGGAATTTTGTAACAATTAATACATTTGAGGAAAACCATACACAGGCAGACAATTCACAAACAGAAAAGAGAAATTAAATTAAACAAGTTATTCCAACAGCAATGATAGTAGTGCATATAAGATCACCATTTTAGCTTGGGACTTATTTACACTACATAATTATGTTGACTTAAGTGGACATACAGGCACCACAGTAATTAAAGTGGTGATTCACATCCACACTATGCTCCTTCTGTTGGTGGTGTGCGACCTCAACAGGAGTGCTTCCATCATCTGAAGTAGGGCACTGTGGGGCACTGAGAGCTGGAGCCCCCCCTGCTCTGGGACTGATAGCCCGAGCTGTCAGCCAGGTGTGAGGCTCACAGATGTCTCCCCAGTCTTGGCACTGACAGCCTGAGCTGTCAGCTGGATGTGGGGATCACAGCTGACAGTCAATGGGTGATGTAAACAATGCAGTGTCTACATGGACACTATGTCACCCTAACTACATCGACCTACGCGCCACACCTCTCATGGAAGTGGAGTTATTAGGTCGATGTAGTGGGTGACTTACATCAGCAGGCGCAGCATTGTAGTGTAGACACTTACATAAGCTGCTTTAACTCAACCTAACTCTATAGTATAAACCAGGCCTAAGTGCATGAGTTGGTACCCCTTGTAGATTGGGAAAGTTGAGAAAGAGGAACAGAGATGTTGCATAGCATTAACTGACTGAAGAGGTGTTAATGTGCCACTTCACCTTGAATGGTGTCTTAGAATGTGTGTTAACTACTTATGCTGAACAATCTGTTACATCTTGTATTTAGCTGTGACATTCTAAGGCCTGGTCTACACTCAAAAGTTAGGTCAACCCAGCTATATTGCGCAGGGGTGTGAAATATCCACACCCTTGAGTGACATAGTTAAGCCAACCTAACCCCCAGTGCAGACAGCTCTGGTTAATGGAACAATTCTTCCACCAATCTAGCTGATGGAAGAATTCTTCCATCAACCTAGCTACTACCTCCTGGGAGGTGGATTACCTACAGCAACGGGAGGGATTCTTCCATTGATGTATGCAGTATCTATACTGAAGAACTACAGTGGTGCTGCTGTTACTTTTCAAGTGTAGACAAGCCCTGAGTATCTTTCCCAGATCTGAAGAAGAGCTCTGTGTAGCTCAAAAGCTTGTCTCTTTCACCAACAGAAGTTGGTCCAATAAAAGATATTACCGTACCCACGTTGTCGCTATAGTGCAATATGGCATAGAGTTCGAAACCACATTTTGTAGACACAAAGAACAATTTCTGGCTGAGAGAAAGTTAGCACAGCTCCAATCAGGTCAGTTTTGCTGTCAGTTCATCTGGCAGAACCATTTTGCATTACCAAGCTTGTTTCATTTTTGGATGGATGCTCATATCAAGGGGTGACACTGGATGAGGGATCTCCACAAATTTCTTAAGTATTTGGCAGCTATAGTTGGGTGGCAAGGACACACAGGCATATAGGAAACCAAAAGGGTAGAAAGAACAGGAGCACTTGTGGCACCTTAGAGACTAACAAATTTAACTAACAAAGTCTCTAAGTGGGTTGTAGCCCACGAAAGCTTATGCTCTAATAAATTTGTTAGTCTCTAAGGTGCCACAAGTACTCCTGTTCTTTTTAAGGTGCCACAAGTACTCCTGTTCTTTTTGCGGATACAGACTAACACGGCTGCTACTCTGAAACCTGTCAAAAGGATAGAGACAGCATTGAAAACAACAGCTACAACAGTAGCCATTACAAAGTCAATATTATGTATAAAATGGTAACTGAGAGGCAAAAGTCTTCTCACCTCACATTTAGAATAGGAAATAAGTAAAGGTGGTCAAATAGTATTCTTTTAAATGGTAACCACTGGTGTTTGGAGGGTTGTTGTTGTGGAGAGGCTGGGGGAAAGCTGGGGTTAAAAATTGTAAAATCCCTTAAACTTGAAGGATTGGCAGCTGCAATGTTTTCATTATTTAACCAGAGCAGTTTAATGGAGAAGCACCACATGTATGTTTTGAGTGGTTAGCTGCAAATCAATTCTTTCTACAGCATTATGTGCTCATCCCATTTTTTATCACTGCACATTTTAAGTCTGTCTCTTTTCAGAGTAGATTGTAGCTTTACTCTGGGTCCAACTATGAAGCTGATCACTTTGCTCTATTTATAGTCATTGTGTTAGTTTCCTTTGCATTGTATGGCCCTTCAAGTAATAAGGAATTTTTTTGTGGTACTTTAAAAGTTACAGTCATATGATTCAGGCTACTTAGCCTTTTTATTTGCCTTAAAGGTCACCAAGTTTATAGCTACATTACTGGTACTAGGTTTTAAAAGTTACTTGAAACTCAGAAAATCCATAGCAGGCACCCTAAACTCGCTCCAGTTTCTCTTTTTCTGTAAGGGTGAACATCTTAGGGTACATCTGCACTGCAATAAAAAAACCCTGGCACTGAGTTTCAGAGTCCAGGTCAATTGGCTTGGGCTACAAGACTAAAAATAGAAGTATAGACATTCTAGCTCAGACTGAAGCCTGAACTCTGAGACACATCCCCATTACAGGGTTTTGGATCCCAGGCTCCAGCCCGAGTCTGAACATCTACACTGCTATTTTTAGCCCTTCAGCCCAAGACCTGTGAGCACAAGTCAGGTAACCTGCACCAGCTATGGGTCTTTTATTGCAGTGTAGATGTACCCTAAATGGTCTGTGTTTCTGTTATAGATACTTGCTCTATATATGTGTGTGGTGTTTATCATAAAGCCTTTCAAAACTTCTGTAAGTTTTGGTGGCTATATTACTGATTTCTCTGCTTCATCCTAGTAGCTCATTAAGGGCCTGATCCAAAGACAAGTGAAGTCAGTGGAAATGTTCCTGTTAACTTGGGTAATCTTTGGAGCAGATCCAAAATATATTTTGCATTCTTAAATTACCAAGCTTCCTGTGCTTAAGTAAATTTTAGGTTTTCCCACTACTTATTCAAATACTATATATATATATTCTTGGCCAGCATAAACATAATGATCATTCTAATCCTTTTAGTATATGAGCACATATATTATTTCTAACTATCAAATACAGTTTAATAAAAAGTTAGTTATGTTTCGTTATGCAAATATCGTAATATCATCCTTTAGGACCAATTTAAGAGCTTCCTAATAAATTAGGGATGGCTACTGCTTTCATTTAACTTGTGTGAAAAAAATCTGTCCCCCACCCCAGCATAATTACATACATTCATATAGCTAGATTCACATATAGTATGGTATATCCTGACCTCTTTCTTTTTTACTCTATACAGGCACTCACCTTACTAATATCCACGCAGGTTGACGAGCCACGCTTGCCACAATGAGTTGGCAGAAACCAATCAGCATCTCCCAGTGTAGTCCCAAAACCTGTTAACAGAGTGGATCGAGAGAAGAACCTAACCAAACTTGTGCATTCTCTTTGCTAATTCTCCTAAATTCACCTTCTTCCCATTATTTTTATTCTTATTACAGTATTATCTATATGGTGACCATATTTCCCTATGCTGATAAAATTACTCATATTCAAGCAAGTTCAATGACAATCAGTCAGAATTATGCAGTAGAAACATTCAAATGAACATCAAGTTGAATGAGCCCCTGTTAAAAAGAAATACTGCATACTTGAAGTCTTTTTATTTACCTTCTTATCTTTTCAAGGCTTTAGGGTTCTCATGGGTAGAAGTGGCACACACATGGAGAGGTGACACACACCTCTCTCACACAGGGGGGTGACCGACTGACCGTCCCCTCCCTTCCCCGCTTGGTGCTCTCCACCCTCCATGCCTGGCTGGGGCCCTGGGATGGACCCGCCTCTCCTGGTACCTGGCCAGAGAGGTGTCTCAGCAGGGGAGGCTGCCTAGGGGACAGCCCCGCACTCCCTGGGGGCAGGACAGAGGGCGGTGGGGGAGGGGGAAGGTGAAGAGGGTGCTAAGTTCTTGCCCGGGAGCCTGCTGTGGAGCATGCAGGGTTGGGGTGCGAACAGGCTGGAAATGGTTCCCACCCCCCACTCCAGAGCTTAGCTGAAGGGTGGAGAGGCTTCCCCATGCCAGTGCTGTGCGGAGCTTTGGCACACACAGGGCTTCGCTCCTCCTGGCCAGCGTCCTGGACCAGAGGGTCTTGAGCTTTCCTGGGGCACGAGCCCAACCAAAGGGAGTGGGGGAAGGAAGAAGCCTTGCGGGCAGGCTGTTGGTGAGCTCAGCATTCACACCAGGGGCTGGTTCTTCACACAGCACTGGGAGCGGGACGCACTCCACCGTGGGGGATATGGAGGAGAAGTGGAGCTGGTGTGGGGTGAAGGGGAAAAGCAGGCAAGAGGACAGTGAAAGAGGAGCACATAAAGGGCCAATGGGTTGGCAGCAGAGAAGACATATAAACAGCCGCCGACTGGTGCCTGCCTGCAATCACCAATCACAGCAGCGCGCAGCCAGTGCTGTCTGGAAATGGGACGTGGGGGCAGAGCCCTACTGGCTGAGAGCTGGCACACAGCGGGGGCTGCACTGATGGACCAACAGGCCGGCCCCATGCACTGTAGCTTTGCCCTGCCACCAGCCTTGCACCTCACCCCCATCGTCAGTCACTGGACCCCAGCACTCACCACTGGCGGCTGGCGAGCAGGGATCCGGCCAGCAGCAGGACCTGCCAGTACAGATGGAGGGGGACTGAAAATATGGGACCATTTTCAAGAAAAAATCAGGACACCTGGAGGAGGGCTTAAATATGGGACTGTCCCTTTAAAAGCAGGATGTCTGGTCAACCTAATTATCTAGAATCCCCAACCCAAAATCAAATTTCCATTATACTAGGCACTGTACAAACACAGTAAATAACAGTCCTAGCCCTGAACAGCTTACAATCTGAATAAAGGTAGTATTTTTATTACCATTTAACAGACAAGGAACGGAGGCACAAAGCAGTAAGGGCCAAATTCATAAAAGGACTTAGGTACTGCAAGGGTCACCATTGAAATGCCTAGGTGCTTAGAAAATTACTGCAATTCATGTAGCCTAGGTTCCCTATATGAAGTATGGGGAATGCTGTAAGAGACCCTGGGACAATTCCCCTCTATTATAGGATGTTCTGATGTTGGTTTTTCTCAATCTCTCCTATTGAAGCTGTTCCACTATGGGTAAATAATTGAAGTCATAGGAGCAGAGGGACTGGATCCTGGGTCTCTCACCTTCTAGGGGAGGTATGTTACCCAACAGACTATAGATTCATTTTTATGCTACCCATCTCCCAAGGACTAGTTAAGCATTTATGCAAAGTGGAACAGCTTCACCAGGAGAGATTGAGAAAGCCTCACATCAGAATATCCCACAGAGCACTTGCCTTGAGAGGTAGGATACCCATGTCCAAATCCCTTCTCCCTATCAAGTGGGAATGGTGGGATGGGGAAATTGAACCAGCCTCTCCCACGTTCCAGGCAAGTGCATTCACTATCTGGCCACAAGATGGGGAGCAGCAGCATCTCTTCCTCCTCCACGGCTTCTTTAAAAAAAATCCCCAGCTCAGGTGCCTGATTCCAGGAGAGGGTTCATAGCTGTGCATCACATGCAAGGATAGGTGCCACGTTGCAAGCCTAGACATAGGTGCCTAACTTTATGAGAGAAGTGGGGCTTAGAACACGTCCCTCTCATCACCACCTTCAGTTGGGTAGTTTAAGTTGCTTCCTGCCTAGCATGCTGGTTTTTGTGAACCCTATTCTTAGGCAGCTGTCTCTCTCTATTCATTGTTTCGGGTGCCTGGGAACCTAACCTGGCTTTGTGAATCCCCATGATTTTATAGGCACTAAAAATGCTGAGCATTTCAATGCCCAAGTCCCTTTGTGAGTCTGTCCCTAATTGCTGGACTTAGGCATCTAAAATTACAGTAAGGCATCTAAGTCTCTTTGTGAATCTGGCCCTAAGTGATTTGCGCAAGGTCCACAGAGGAAGTTTGTAGCAGAGTCAAAAACTGAACCCAGTTCTCCTGAGTCCCAGTCTAGTGCCTAAGCCACAAGGTCATCCTTCCTTCTCTTCCGTTGTTTAACAAACTTCTCTCAGGCTAATAAGATTTGCACATGTTCTGTAGGAAATGGAGGTAACTGAAAGAGACGTGCTCCCAGCTTTGACATTTAAAATTAATCTATTTAATTAGAAGGAAATGGAATATTTCAAGATGGATATGTAAGGTATCTTTGTCATTAGCAACGATTATTTTGCGACCGGGTTACGTAGATTTTATGTGCTTATTTACTATTTTATTCAATAGCAATGCATGTTTATCCTAGGAAATCCCACGGTACTATACCAACCTTAAGAGAAAGACATTCAATATCAACAAACCGTTGAATTTCTACTTTTTTTCAGTGTTTCCTGAGTCTAAACCTCACTCAACTGAAAATCCACATTCATACAAATATGGTTTTTTTAAGACACTTATGTATAGACCATCTATTCTGTCCTGCACAAAAGGCTTACAGGAAAGTCATTGGTAAATAATTAGGTTTATGATGTATGCATTAAGCCTCCTGGAAGGTATGCTTTAGCCAAACACAAATTATGCTTTAGTCAGACAAATTATGGAGCTTAATATACAGGTGAATGGGTGAAAGGTTATGGACTGTGATATACAGGTTAAAGTAAATGATCTAATGACCCCTTCAGGCCTTAAATTCTGAATTTTCCTTCTTTCTTCATCTTTTCCATAAGTGATAGCCTATGGTACAGGTTTATCAAGTTCAATGAAGTTTTTAGAAGTGAATGGAAGTTGAAATGTTGTGTATAACCTCATAGAACAACAGAATATTCCTATCTCCAGCCTTTGTGCTACGTTAGGCAGTGAGTAAGCAAGAATTGAGCTAGTACTCTACCATTTACCCAGCACCTGTCCACTTCCCACCTACCTGCTTTGGGGAACAAGTATGCAAGTACCCCAAATGCATATGGATCCAAGGTCTGGGTAACCTGATAGATATTATAATGGGGTTCCTTATACCCTCTCACTCATCTATGTGGTATTGGTCTTTCATCACTTTGAAGGATATATACCTAGCGTAATGTTGATCCATTCTTCTTCTTGTACTGTAATCTTCATATTCATGGATGCCTTGAGGTGTTGGAGTCTGCTGTTCATTTAGTCACCTATCATTGTGTTGCTGGAAACCTCAGATGACTTCTCCTCCTTGTCCTTGTCACAAACTAGATGTTTTTTCCAGACCTGTGTACAAGCAATGGCTCTTTCCATCGCTGCATTGAGGTCCTCCTTCACACAGGTCTCCCCAGAGAGTCAGCAAATAGGCAGATGCTCAGACTAATGTACTGAGTTTCATGTATAAAAATTAGATTTGGAGAAGCAAACTCACAGTCAGACTGGTCACATGGTCATAGGTGTGACTACCTAGACATGAGAGAGACAGGATAGGGGTGGTAATATCTTTTATTGGACCAACTTTTGTTGGTAGAAGGCACAAGCCTTTGAGCTGCACAGACCTCTTCTTCAGTTCTGGGGAACAAAGAACAGTGTCATGATGTTCAATTAAAAAAAAACAGCAGGTACATTTTCCTATGTTAACACTGTAGTCTAAAATAATGGTAATGAAAAAAACAGGCATACTCTATTTGTCTCTTTCAACTTCCATTCATTTCTCCTCTGAACTGCCTTTTATGTTTCACCATATGCTTTTTCTTTATGAGAATGGCCAATTTAAGAAAAAGAAAGGAAATAAACCTTTTCTATTACATCAAACAAAATTCTTAAATGGAATAGAATACTGGAAAATAGGGGTAGGAGGGGAGAGGGAAAGGGGAGGAGAGAGGGTTCCTGACATTTTCTTCCTTGAGACAAAGTTAAACTGAACATGCATTTAATTTTATATTAGTGTCTTTCTGTTAGAATGGGCTCCTTATCTCAGAGACAGCATATATGCATCATGTTGCTTAAGATGACATAGTAACTATAATGTTGTCATTGAGTTGACAAGTAAATTGTCTGAAGAAATACACAAAAATGGTGGGGGTGTCATTTAAGGTTATCTGCAGTAGTCTGAACTCCCAAATGCTTCTTGTCATTTTTTTTTTCATCCAGGATGTTTTTAGTGAAAATGCTTAGGTTAGAATAGATCACATAAAATTGCTTTTGTCAGTATGAAAATATGCAAGATATATTTTTGCGCAAAGCAGAAAAGGATACTAATGAATTAAACAGCTTTCTTCAAAATAATAACAACAATCTTGCTATACTAATGCCAGCCTGTACATTAAGGAAACCATATATATATCAAGTAAAGTGCCCCAAGGGGTAGTCCTGGGGCTGGTTTTGTTCAATATCTTGGGGTAGGATACAGAGGGACCAAGACAAATTAGAAGATTGGGCCAAAATAAATCTGATGAGATTCAACAAGGACAAGTGCAGAGTCCTGCACTTAGGACGGAAGAATCTCATACACTGCTACAGACTAGGGACCGAGTGGCTAGGCAGCAGTTCTGCAGAAAAGGACCTAGGGGTTACAGTGGACAAGAAGCTGGATATGAGTCAACAGTGTGCCCTTGTTACCAAGAAGGCTAACAGCATTTTGGGCTGTATAAGTAGGGGCATTGCCAGCAGATTGAGGGACTATTCGGCATCAGTGAGGCCTCATCTGGAGTACTGTGTCCAGTTTTGGGCCCCACACTACAAGAAGGATGTGGAAAAATTGGAAAGAGTCCAGCGGAGGGCAACAAAAATGATTAGGGGGGCTGGAGCACATGATTTATGAGGAGAGGCTGAGGGAACTGTGTTTGTTTAGTCTGCAGAAGAGAAGAATGAGGGGGGATTTGATAACTGCTTTCAACTACCTGAAAGGGGGTTCCAAAGAGGATGGATCTAGACTGTTCTCAGTGGTGACAGAACAAGGAATAATGACAGATGACAGAACAAGGAATAATGGTCTCAAGTTGCAGTGGGGGAGGTTTAGGTTGGATATTAGGAAATACTATTTCACTAGGACAGTGGTGAAGTACTGGAATGAATTACCTAAGGAGGTGGTGGAATCTCCTTCCTTAGAGGTTTTTAAGGTCAGAATTGACAAACCCCTGGCTGGGATGATTTAGTTGGGGATTGGTCCTGCTTTGAGCAGGGGGTTGGGACTAGATGACCTCCTGAGGTCCCTTCCAACCTGATATTCTATGATTCTATAGTACTTATTCTTTTTATATCAAATGAACATGAAGTAGTTCATCCTGTGTCTACACTTTTGGTGGTGTGTAGAGTACAGGTGTAGCTACCTGCTCTAGCTGCCACAGTGAAAAATGGGCTACGTCCACACTTGTCACTGTGGTGTGTAGCTACAGTACACATGGCAGTGAAATACTCTAGTAGCATGGAAAGGCTCTGCCACCGGAGAGCTGCTGGAGCCTTTCCCTTTCCCTGCTCCTTCCCACCTGCCAGAACTTTTCCCCACTATTTCCCCCTGCCAGACTCTTTCCCTGCTGGCAGCTGGAAGGCAGTGAGACACTACACAGCTAAAAATAGCACTGCTTGAGTGTATAGAGAGAGCTGTGTAGGGCATGTATCTTGGTTTTGCCTCACCCTCTGCATTATTTATACCTGTGCTAGCTGGGCATGCAGAGTCTGTACTCTACAGGCTGCTGTACGTTTACCCAAACCTGTATAGTCAGAGGTAGCTTATCTAGTTGCTAAAGTATAGGTCAGTGTATTGAAAGACCTAGGTTCTTAGACCATTGAAGAATTGGGGATTTCTGTAGCCTTAGGACAAGTCACTCAGGTCTGATATTCAAAAGTGTGAGCCTGCAATTTGGTGCCTAAATCCATATTTAGGCTCATAAATAAATGATCTAATGTTAAGAGACAGTGAGTGTCAACTGCTGCCATTGATACTGTCGTTCAGGTCCTTAGGTGTGTACACTGGCATAGCTTCACTGAAATCAGCTTACAGCAGTTGAGAAACTTGCAGTAAATTTTCCATCTTTCCTCTACCCTTTATGAAAAAATGACTGTTTTGATCTCCTCAATAGAGATGTCAGCATCCCTCTTTCATATTATACTATACATAGTTGTAGGATGAAGTCTGTAGGGATTAGTTTCTACCCAGCTTGTTGCTTTTGCTTTTTTGAAGTGTTTTTTTATTACCTACAACAATTTTGTTATTGCAATGTTTGAATACAATGAAAGCTCATCATATATATAAGAAACCCATTATTTCATCTTTCATATTTGCAGTCAGTGTATGAAGTCTGCAAAATCTTACAAGTCTTTTACCATGATTTGTAGCTCTGGAAATATCTTGCTATTTTTTTTCTTCCGTTTCTTTGCATTTCTCTCTGTTTTTTTCTTACTCCACTGGCCTGCTCTGTCACACATTCTTCTCCACTCTGTTCTCCTCCTGAATTTCAGCATAATCCCCACGGTGTTCCCTTATGTTCTTTAATGTCCTTTCTCTCTTGCCCCATTTCTGATTGCCCCTTTCAGCCTCTTTGCTAATAAATGAGACATCTGAGTTAAGGATGCTATAGGTTGAGCATTTTAAATGGTAGAAAATTGCAACTTTCTTATAAAGGAGAAGAGAAAATAAAACAAAACAACCTTCCTCCCCCTGCCCCACCAAAGAAAAAAGAAGAGAAAAACAAACAAAACAGTTTAGCAAACAGTCCCTGTGGTTTTTCTTATAATCTAATCCAGTAAACACAGCCAAATCTTCTTGGCCCACAAGCCCAGTCAGGAAGCCCTAGAAAAGTTGACCATAAATAACTCCCGACAATGGGAGTTAGGCACCTAAATACCTTTGAGGATCTGGGTCATTGCCTGAACTGGCAGTCTTAGCCAAAGTGTCAGTCAGCTCATTCCCTCTGAATCTACTTTGATAGGGTGGTACTCTTCCTGGGAAAGGTGGAGAGAATTTGATCATCTTTCCATCATATTGTGGACTAGAAGAGCCCATGTTTAAGTGTCCAGGTAGTGTGCTGCTTTAGAGGGATATGAAGCTCCAATTGTGAGAATGATGCCACATTCCTCTGTCTGCACAATGAATATATTCTCTTGCTTCTCTGGGACCAGCTGTACTCTGATAAATCATTCTCACCCCTATAATTCTGGAATTACTAAATGCCTGCTGGGTATGATGATGGCCTTTCCAGCAGCCTGAGACCTTTCTGGTGCAACTATAGCAAAGGATATTCAGTATCAGCATGGAATTTATCATTCATGTCTGTCTCTGATGCCATTAGCCAAAACCTGCATCCTGGTAATGAGAGTCCCAAATACTGCACTGAGTAGCAGTGTTGAGGGAGCCGGGGGTATAACTAGTCTCCCTCACCCATGAAGGGCTAGATCCTCAGATGGTGACTTCAATGGATCTAAACTGATTTACACCAGCTGAGGATCTGGCCAAGAATCTTGGGGCTGGTTCCTAAAATCCTGGCCCTTGTGCAGCACAAACACACTGGTTCCATAGCAAGAGGGCCTTAGACAGCTAGCAAAGAGGTAGTATCATGTTCCCCATGAAGAACTGAAGATTCTACTTTATGCTAGTACAGCACATTTCAGACAACAGTGAAGTGGGATCGTCAAGGCACTGGGATCTCTGATATTCTGTTTGGATGTTACCATAGAGAAGTATCAGCAATGGCCTCTTACATTACCACAGCAACATCCTTGATTACAATAGAATCCATGCACAAAATATTCCAATCATTATGATTAATGTTGTTCTAATAAATACTAGGAGCTAATAATGATTTGCCATTTATTATCAAGTGTTCCTATTTTAACTTTGTGGCATCGATCAATAGACTTTCCAGACATGGACAAATTTTCATTGTTCTTTCCAGGGGCAATATGTGCTTGGAGTTTAACCAAGAAAGATTAAGAGAAGTTGCTTCTCAAGTTAAAATGAATTTTTATGGAAAGGAAATAATTGTAACCAAATCTGGATCTGAATCTCATAAAGGTACATTGATTTAAATGATTTATGTCCTTTAAATGTTGACATTCTGGTTATATCAACATCTTAGTCACTTACTCAATCACCAGTCACAATCTCTATTGTCTCCTACTGCTATGGTGTTAAAATCAGGATGGTTAGATAGATTAGATAGATAAAAATTGTTCATTCTTGCTAAATAGATTTAAATATTGCATTAAAAACAGTGTATGAATCCACTATTATATGGCAATTTCAAAAATTCTGTTTTAGAAGAAAAATCTACTGATAGTGGAAGCCTTCAAATCTATAGGAAGTGTACACTGTTTACAATGATCTGAAAAAAGGTATGGGTGAGTGGGTTCTTTCATAATCTTGGAGCTAAAACAGTGCTTAGTGTGTGCCCTTCAGCAACACAGCTTGATTTTTATTTTATTTTTTCTGCATTTATGATCTCTTGAAAATCCTCTCCCCCAACACAAACACACATACAATTTAAACCCTGGCTGTGTGCAACAGGTTAATAAAACAGGAACATAAGAACTGCCCTACCAAGATATACCAATGGTCGATTACTGTCTGGTAGCCTATGGTCTCTGGTCATGTCACAGTGCTTTGGGAAAAGCATAATCCAGAACACCCTCCCCACACACAGGCTGTAAATTTCAAATCTGAGTACCCAAAGTAAGATATTTAGGTATCTAAATAAAAGTGGCCTCAGCATCCATCACTTTTAAAGAAGTCGATGGGAAATGCAGATGCTAGGCACTTTTGAAAATCAGACCACTTTTATTCTGGTACCTGAATATGGATTTAAGAGACTAAGCGTAGAGACACCCAACTTTGAAAATCAAGTATCGGGGGTAGCCATGTTAGTCTGTATCCACAAAAACAACAAGGAGTCCGGTGGCACCTTAAAGACTAACAGATTTATTTGGGCATAAGCTTTCATGGGTAAAAAACCTCACTTCTTCAGATGCA